CAGTTCTGGATATCTCACCAACAGGTTGTCCATTACGTTAATCACTGTAGTATCAGACTGCCTCTCAAATATTAATGAAAGCAGCAGTTAGCCATGTTATTCTGAAGTCAAGGGAGTTTGGCACTGGAGGGCATTTTTGTATATATTCTGGGATGCGGCTCCAGGCACTTTAATAAGCAAGCGATGCTAATTAAACACCCGTGTGTCATATGTATCAGCGTCCCCACTCTGACAAAATGGTGGCAGTGTGCTTTGAACTAAAGCTCATCAAACGTGTTTTATTTCAAAGCACCCCACCACCATTTTTTCAGCGCAGACACATGGGGACGCTGGTACATGTGACACAGAAAGCTGTCAGAGCGTGTCCGTTTCTGTGCTCCAGCAGACTCAGTTAATCGAATCTGCTCCAATGTGCTGGACTTCCAGCATGTTGGAGTAGGCTCCACACACCTGTATAGGAGCCCTGAGAGACTAACCAGTTCAGTGGGGCATAAATTTATGTAGGCACTTAAATCTTTCTGCACCAATTAATCCCTAAATTGCCAACCTGTCTAGCCTTGTGAATATCAGATTAAATTCACTTTGACTTTGAGACAGTTTGAATGGATAATTTGGAATATGAACTTGATCCAAGTATCCATTTTGCAATGGGTCCCATTCTATTATGAATCAAAACAAATCCCCTCCCCTTCCTCCCCCACCCCCGCTCCCACTCCCACCCTCCTTTGCAAATCAAACCCAGGGGTTTAAGGCTTCAAAATCAAAAGTTTGGTTCAGTCCATCTTTGGGGTTAGCACTAAGAAGAATTAAAGTGTTTACAAGATCCATGTGGATCTCATTAGGAGAAATGGAGTGAAATCAAGAAAAGGAATAGTTAGTCTGAATAGCAGGAAAAACTCATCATGAGGGTCTTTATTTGACTGGAGTGGCCTGCCAAGGGAAATGATGAAAACCTTTTCAAGTGCAGGAGGCTGGAACTTCCATAGAAATCAACACACTTGTACTAGATCATGTCTGTGCTGAATTTGTCTCAAAAGAAGCAGAGTATATATGTCTAATGGGAGAATTTGACTACATTAGATATTAATCTAGCATCTTAATTATAGGACACAGTGCATAATGCAGCAAATATAAGATGCATGCACATTTTAAAATCAATGCAAATGTGCTTGTTTGTTTGTTTTTTCTCATAGTATAGACAACTGTTTCTCCACTCCAGCCTTATTGTGAGGACTCAGGGTATCTTTCTAATAACTAGGGAACCTCAGTTTCCAGACAAATTAATTGGTAGCCATCAAAATACTGTGCTACAGAGGACCCCACTGAGGAAATGGTCATCACTGAGGAACAGGACACAGATGTGAAACATCTTGAGGCTTTGCTTTATCAATAATGGCGAGGATGTATTTGCACCATCATTAGTTGGAATCAGCTGAAACAAAATGATTTGAAGAAAAATGTATTTTGGCTTTAAATTGTAATTTATGGTGAGGAACTCTCAGGCAGACTGCAACTCTGAGCTACTGTGTGTTTGACAACTCCAGTCACTGTCAATGCTTTGCTTTAGGACAAGACAAACCTGGCCAACTTCCCAAAATTACTGAAGAATATCAATTAAAAAATGGACCTTGTTCTGGGAAACTTAAATTACAAATCCCTAGAGCTCTGAAATGAAGAATAAGGAAATTGCTTCCCCCTTTGGCCATGACCTTTTACTTTGAAAGGATTCCACAGTATAAAAAGAGGAATCATCTTTTATTTAAACAGGAAGCAACTGGAGGCAGTTTGGGGCTCCTGGGAATATTTAAACACACGCTGAGAAAGAAATTGAAAGCATGACTATTTCAAGGACAGAACTCCAGTGATCTTTGCCTTTAATGTGATACCTAACCCTTCTGCCACAGTGAGCAAAAAATAGCATTTATCCTTTTATCAACACACAGCATTAGCAATGAAACTGTCTGTGGTAATGGCTGAAAAGAACTTTCCTGGCCTTCGGAAGGGAATGAACGCTGCTGGTAGGTTCCATTAAAAGTTGCATTAGGGTAATTTAATTCCTTTAGACCAGTTCCATTCACAACTCTTCCTTTCTTCCACCCTTACAGTTTGTTGAATCAATAGCCATTAGAGCAAATCAGTCTCAGTGGGTAAATGCCCTTGCAAAACTGTATCCTGTTCACTGCAGTCAGTCTAAAGCTCTACTCAATGAAAATGACTCAAGTTCAGATTCTAACCAGAATCTGTTTCACAGAAAAACTATTTGAAAGCGAGGCCCAGGGCTGATAGTCCCAAGCCAGCCAAAAAGAGAAAAGTTCTGAGAACTGTAGGCCCAATGCTATACTCATGCTTATTGAAAATTGTTTTTTGCATCAATAAAAGTTGAAATAGGCCCCCAAAATGCCGGATTTCACAGAAAACTAAAGATATGAATTCGTAGGTCATAAGCGACAAAGGGCAGCTTTAATTTTCTGTCTGTTTCTGGTTTTATCCATCCGTTCTACTTTTAGGTAGTGGGATAGACATATAGCTTAATGTCTCCAACTGCTAGATTTGATTTGCTTTTAATTTAAAAAGGACAAGCCTGTGACTTAGCCCCATGTGACCTTTCAGAAGAATAAGGACCCCCTCATTACACCCTTCTCACTGCCTCTGCCATCTCTGCAAAAGGCACAGAAGAATATTTTCTGTATTGCCTCCATCCCATTCAGATAGGCAAGGAGTAAAGAAGAATGACTGAAGATGTGACAGATTCTGAAACCAATATAGGAGTGTTCACAGAGTAACAGGTCAGTAATCTGTTTCATCCTTCTAGGCAGGTACAGGCATATACAATTCCTTGCATAGAAGCTAAAGTTAAAGTATATCCTAAGAAAATAAGGCCAAATTCAGTTTGGTTTTCACTGTGCCTACATGAGACTTATGAGAATGTACTTGCTCAGTGGTTAGGACACTTGCCTAGGATGTGGCAGACATTGGCTGGAAATGGATATCATCTGTCGAGTGCGATCTGCTGTTCAGTGATATGTCACAGCTCAGCTGATCACATGCCATAGACATCTTTAGAGGTTGACGAGTGATGCACCCTGCTTTGGGCACATTTGCAATTCAAGGAAAACCCTGCTTGCAGATGCATCCCCTTGGGTTGAGTATTGGGGGAATCCCTCTGCAAGGGATTTGCTCCCATAGTTTCTCCCCCTCCCCCACCACCCTCTATTTGCAGACGTGTATCACTGCTGTGCTTTGACACAGACCATGTGTCTGGAAGTGATGAATCCCTGCTTGCAGACACGTGCCTCATGTTGGAAAAAAGCCCCCAATTTTCCCAGTTACCAGTACACATCCACAGAGATCCATGGGATGCATCTGGCTAAGCAGAAAAAGCAGTACAGGCCTCCCAAAGGCTTGAGGGACCCAACTCTGCCCAAGAATTCCTGGGGTGTAAGAAATGGGCCTCTCAAATCCATAGAGCCTCTGCCAGGGTGATTGGAGAGCACAGGCAGCTTTGGGCTACCCACACTCTGCTTCCATAAACAGATGTCTGCCTCAAAAAAACAGCTCATTTTATCACAATCTTTTGTCATGGCCACAAATTTGAGCATAAGTGGTGTGACAAAAGGTAGGAGCATCTGTTTGTTTTCACTTTGTGCCAACACAAGGATAATGTCTATTTCCACCTATTTGTTCTAGAATCATTGTGTCTGAGAGTGAGCAAGCAAGAGGGAACAACCTAATGGTTATGGCAATCCCCTAGAGGAGTGGAGTCCTGGACTGGAGCCCAAGACTTACCCACCTCCTGGCGGGGTGCCGTAATCACTAGACTAGGTAATCAGACTGGATTGGGCCTTCCTAATATTAGACCCAACCCAATACTAAGGAACTGAGGGGTCATTCCTTGAGGCTACATCTGCAGCATTTGATGATCCCATTTGGCCCGCATGGTGGAAACAGCTCTGGGGAAACTCCATCAGGGTCAGGCACAGCAGCTTCTTACACCACCTACTTTCACCATAATGCAGCTGACAGACTGGAACAAAGCTGCTCAGCTATGCCAGTTCCAGTGGGGTCTTCGAAAAGAAGTCAAGGATAAGTTGGCTCACACAGAGGCAGCCTTCAGTCTCAGCTTAAATGCCTTTATTGAATTAGTCATCCAAACTGGCAAAGACTAAGGGAATGTCAAGAGGAGAAGACGGTTCCACTTTTATCTCCGCAGTACTCGGCCACCTGCTCCAAGCACATCGAGGTGTAGAGCTGTCAAAGGTTGACCCCTGAGATGTGGGAATGTCACCACCAGCACCCCTGATGCTTTTATTGTGGTGAACCTGCCCTTACTTCTTGCCTAACCTGTACTCAAGGAAGTCTGGAAAACACTGATGCACAGGCCCATGAGGGGGACAGGCCTGGGGCTTGCCCATAACCCCCCTGCCTCAAGGCTTAATGGGGCCCACTCACTGCCTTGCTTTCAAACCTCTCAGTGCAATTGGTTCTACTGCGGTATGTATCTGACCACCCCTGGAGCTGACCCTCCATGGGGTCAATTGACTTTTTCATATAGGAGGAAACTGCCAAGAGACTTCACATTCCCTTATGCCTGTGAGCAAATCTAGACCTAAAAGAAACCATCAATGGGTCCCTCCTGTCCCCTGGACCAGTAACACAGCAGACAGTATCTCTGGGGTAGACATCCGAGGGCACTGGGGAGTACTGACCTTTGGAATAATCCATTCCCTGTATTTTCCTCTAATCCTGGGAATAACCTGGCTAATGCTGCATGACCCCTTTATAAGGTGGAAGTCATAGGAGGTCAGTATAATCTCCAATTACTCTATCAGAGACACTGCTGGAGAGTCTAGGAGCCCATTGTTCTGGAGTCATCCTCTCCACTCCCCAAAAGTATCTGGACTTTTGACAATGAAGGTGGAACAATCCTCTGAGAGGTGATAGGCATTACCTCCAAATTAGGGGACTACCCCAACAGTTTTGAGAAAAAGAATGTGGATTACCTTTCTCTGCACCAGGACTACAATTGCTGTATTGATCTCCAGATGGGGGTGGGGAAGATACCCATAAGGTGAATATACGCCATGTCTGAACCTGAGTTAGCTACCCTATGCAAGCATATCCAGGAGAACCTCACAAAGGAGTTTATTCGGAAATCCACATCACCAGCTGGGGCACCGGTCCTATTTGTGAAAAAAAAAAAGGATGGGAGTCTGCACCTCTGCACTGATTACCAGGCACTCAACCAAATTACCATCCACAACAGATACCCCTGCCCTTGATTCTAGAGCTATCCAAATTGGATCTCTATGGGGCTTACAACCTAGCACACATTTTGTGCAGCATTTTGAACCTGGTACGAGCACTTTGAGTATCTGGTCTTCCCATTTGGTTTGACCAGTGCCCCATTGATATTCCAGCATCTGGTTAATAATATATTATGAGATCTACTTGACCAATTTGCCTGTCTCACTGGTATCCTGATTTTCTCAGAGACCCCAGAACAATACACCCAGCATGGCTGCATGGTCCTAGAAAGATTAGGACAACATGGATTATATGCCAAACTTGAGAAATGCACATTTGATCAGACCACCATCGAGTTTCTAGGATCTCTACTATCCCCAGGAGCATCTTCATGGACCCCAAGAAGGTGAAGGCAGTGTACAGTTGGGCACCCACACATTCAGTCTGAGAAATATGATTCCTGTGATTCACAAACTTTTACAAAAGATTCATCCTGAATTTTTCACATTTGGTGGCACCCCTCACCAGACTGCTCCAGAACAATGTGCCTTTCCACTGGTCAGTAGAGTCCCAAAGTGCCTTTGAACAGTTAAATGAAGCCTTTCAAACTGCCCCCATACTGATCCTCCTGGACCCCAGCTCCACCTTCATTGCATAAACACATATACAACATAGCAATTGTGGCAGTACTCTTACAAAGGTGTGGCCCAGATCAGGTTTTACATCCCTAGCTGCTTGCAGACCTTAAAAAAAACCTGTCACTTTAAACTTGGCATGCTCCCGCACCAAGCCCAGAGCAAGTCCAGAATAAGCACCACATTAATTGGACCTGGCCCACTCAACATCTGTATAGATCAGGTGTTTTAGTGGGGCTTTTTTGGTGTTTTTATCTAATAGCTTATTAAATCAGCTATTAGATAAAAGCGCCAAAAAGTCCCACTGAAGCACCTGATCTATACAGATGCTGCGGAGCTGGCTTAAACTGCTTCTTCTGGTAAAGCACAGTGGGTTTGGAGTTTTTTTTTCGGGGGGGGTGGAAGCAGGGGTTACATCTATAAGCAGCCCCTATGTTTACTTTTCCAGGGACCTCATTCAAGTGAAGCAAAACTATGAAATCTTGAACTAGGTGCTTCTTCCTATGAAAGCTATCTTTGAGGAATGATGCCACTATTGAAAGGGGGCCTAATACTCTTTGCGGGTCTTAACTGATCACAAGAACCTGGAATTCTTTCACACAGCAAAGGCCCTGAACCAGAGGCAACCACACTGGGCCTTACTCTATTCCCTTTTGACTTCACAATCTCCTACTACTTGGATCTAAGACAAGGTAAAGCAGACACTCTGTTTCATAAGGAAGTGAATGAGATGGACTGGGCAATCACCAACCTGAGCCCTGAATACATCTTGAAGCCACACAACTTTGTATGTGTGGGCCTAGCAAGGGACCTGCTGTCTGCAAACTGTTCCCCACCTATCACTGGATTGCCAACTTTGGGGGAAGCCCTCCTGAACAAAGAGCAAATGGAAGTGATTACCTTAATTTGCAGATGCATATACACATTCCCAGGGTCCACACATAGAGTGGCTCTTCCTGCCATGATTGGCCAGCAACCCAGGATTCTCAAAGAGGTATCACCTGGCCTCCCACTAGGTATGGTCACCTCATTTGAAGGCCACAGTTTGGAATTTCTTAATCTCCTGTGACACCTGCATCTGGGTCACATGCCCCCGCCAGGAACCCTGTGAGTTACTTCAGCCCCTGGAAACCCCCCATCAACCCTGGGCTGTCATCTGTATGGACTTTATAGCAGAGCTGCCTGAATCTAATAGGCTTATATGTTGACAGTAATAGACCATTAATGCATGCTGACAGTAGTAGATCATTTTATGAAAATGGCACACTTCATTTCCTGCATAGGTTTGCCACTGCTAAAAAGACAGCACAACTTGGGGTCTCCCAAGTAGTCTGGTTTCATGGGTCCCTGAACAAGTAATATCAGGCAGAGGATCTCAGTTTACATCCTGGTTTTAGATACACTAATTGCACCTACTCAGGATACAATCCCACCTGTCGTCCACAGATCACCCCCAATCCAACAGCTAGGCTGAGAGAGTAAATCATACTTGGAACAAGACCTCCATTTCTATAGCAATTACCATCAGAATAACTAGTCCTCCTTGCTCCATCTACTGGAGTTTGCTTACAACAACACTGACCACCAGCTGGAGTCTATTCTTTGCAAGTGATGGTTTCCATCCTTGATTCTACACTAAGCTGCCCTCAGAATCTCCCAACCTTGCAGCTTCTGAATGACTACAACACAGTCATCAGCTATAGGGGGGAATTGAAGAAACAAGCAACCCAAGCCAAAGAAAAGTGTAAGCAATTTGATGACTGCCAGGCCTGCCTTAATCCATATGCCAGAAAGTACAGTTATCAGCCAAGCACATACACACAGAAAGACCCTCCTGGAAACTAGAATGTCATTTTCTCAGTCCCTACCCAAGAGCCTGCCAAATTAACCCCATCACTAATGAACTGTGATTGTCCTGATCCTTCAAAATTCATCTGCTATTCCACACATCATTGCTGAAACCATATACAGAAAACTCCCTTCTGCACAACCCAAGTGCCACTGCTTTCTGTCCTCCTGTCCATGCAGAGGAATGAGGAATAAATGGTTCAGGAAACCTTGGATTTGAAATTCAAACATAGCCAGCTATAGTTCTTGGTGGACTGTGAAGGATACAGTCTGGAAAACTGCACCTCGGAGTCAATAGATAGTATACGTGTCATGGCACTACTCCAGGCTTTCCATAAGAAATATCCAGAAAAACCATGGTCAGCCCGTCTAGAAGTCAGGCATATGTCTCCTTGACATATCTCCTGGTCCTGGATTTGGGACCAGGAGTGATGTCAGGACCTGGTCCCAAATCCCAAACCCCAGGGACTGGGCACCAGTTCAGCACTCCACCAAGCCATAACTTATGAAAGGAGACAGACTGGCAGGGGAAGAGACCCTGTTGAGGAAGGGCCTCTTGCTCCTAGCACCTGATTGACCTCAGCCTCCTGGCCCCTAGATGCCCTGGTTCCATAAGGCTTCCTGTTTCCTGGTGAAGCTGTCTGGAAAGCAAGTTTCCTGCCGCTATTGGAGCACCTTGTTTCCTTCCTCCTGTGTTTTTTAAAATATCATTTTTGTGTTCTGTTTTCTTTCAGCTCTAATACTGTGGTGATATTTAAAAAGAAAGAAAACCATGCTTTTTACATCATTTGTCACTCTCAGAATAGAAATGAAATCATGTGACTTATGCATAACAATTAACCAACAAGCCTTTGTTTTTGGACTGGAGTATGAAACAGTGAAAACTTACTCTGCATACAGGAAAAAATGTTGCACTGAAACATTCAAACCTGAAATGAGGCTGAGAGTTTTACTGTCTTTTTATAAACATTTGAGTTAAAGGGCAATTAAATTTTGATGAATTAATTGCATATTACAAACATGCAAAACAATAACTCCCTCTCCAATCTCTCAGGTCTAATCCTCAAAGGGAACTTATAAAACACTATTTGTAGGCGAGCCTACGAACTTCACTTCATAAATCCACTGGATACAAAAAGTCATGGACTCAATATAGACATTGGATTTATGGCACGTTGCAACATGCCTGACATCTGATTCACCAGGTACTTGCCAGACCTGACTTCTTACATTTTTCTTCCAACCCCCATTCCCTTCCCCTACTTTTCTGGCCTTTGTCTTCCTAATTTCCAGCTATTTCCTTTTTCACAGTCAGTCTCTTTTCTACCTTGATTACTACCACTGTTGAGTGTCCCTGACTCAACTTTGGCTCCTCCCCCCACTTTTTTTTATCCTCTCCCATGCTTTACATATTGTTTTCCTAATTTCTACCTATTTACACTTCTCACTGACATCCTGCCACATTTTTAACTTCTGTCATTCCTTGGAGTCTCAGACCAGCAGAGACTCCCTATGCCTGAAGAAGGGTGACTGTGCCCAAAAGCTTGCTAAGAATTTTTTTCCAACTACTCAGTTGGACTAATTCAAAGAACCTTGCCTGCCTATGTGCTTGGATCAACATGGCTACAACCAAAAACCCAGCATATTATAAACGCTGTATTTATGAATACAGTATTTATTGTAAAATGTATTAAAATATTTATTGATATTTACATTATGGAAGGCTCTGAACTAAGAAATTTGCAAATAAAAATTAATATTTTCAAGCAGTCTTTTCTACCATTAGCCTACCTTTCATATTTACCTTTTGGTTTAATATCTACAAGTACATGACAGTGCAGGATTCTACTTTATCACAGAATGCTGCTAGTTTGGTTTTTTTTAGATTTCTTACTAAATTGGGCACGATGTAGGATACAACGAATAGAAAGTATGGAAGCTTTAGTCTAATATGGTGCAAGCCTGATAGAACTAATGTTTGATATGGAAATAAAACTGAAAACAACCTTAAATGAGGGCAGAAATGGCAATAAGAAATTGAACAGATGACCTGGAAAAAATTCAGATTAGGAAATGCCAGGTTGTTATGTGTCCCTGAAAGCATGATGGCAAGATTTGCAGAGTTATTTTTTTCCCCCTGAAATGTTGTCTGGTTGAATTAAGGTGGAAATTAGAAAGTTTCTAACAGTCATAGGGAAGAAGTCCTGCAATGACCTTTCATTAGGAGCACTGGGGGCACACTCCATTAAGCTGTGAAGGGGAGCCTTATAAATTTGGAAGGTGAATTATGATACGGTTGCCTGAAAAGGCACGGAACTGGTTGCTGGAAGGTTACTTCCAGTATTATGTCATTATATATGCAAAGAAGAGAGATGTTGAATCGCTAAACCCCATTTTCGTTGAGTCAGCTAACACCTGGCCATGCAACAGAATATGAAACACCCTTTGCTAGGTTTAGGACAGAAATCACTGTTAATGCT